CTTGTAAAATAGTGTTGACAGTATTATGCTAGGGCTTTATTCTTTCAAGATGATGCCACACAAATCACTTGATTTGCCTCATATAAAGTAATATGTGCAAATAAACATAGTTAACACAACACCTTAGGGCTAATACCTCACAACTGCTATATTTTGACATTCAGTATTTATATTTGGAACAACCATTGAGCTATTTCTTTACCCAGAGCTGAACATGAAAAAATTCAGTTTGAAAACTGTAAATGAATGGATACATAAATTGTGGTACATCTACACAATGGAATACTACCCAGCAATTAAAAACAAGAAAATCACAAAATTTGCAGGCAAATGGTAGGAATTGGAAAAGACCATCCTAAGTGAGGTATCCCAGAACCAGAAAGACACACAGGTATAGACTCACTTATAAGTAAATATTGGACATATAAAATAGGATAAACATACTAAAATCTGTACACCTAAAGAAGCTAAGCAACAAGGAGGACCCAGGGTGAGATGCACAATTTTCATTCAGAAAAGCAATTGGGATGGATATCAGAAGAAGGTGAAAACAAGGAACAAGACAGAAGCCTACTACAGAGGGCCTCTGAAAAACTCTACCCAGGACAATATTAAAGCAGATGCTGAGACTAATAGCCAAACTTTGGGCAGAGTGCAGGGAAGCTTATTAAAGAAGGGGGAGATTGAAAGACCTGGAGGGGACTGGGCTCTGGACCAGAAAACTGGGCCCAGGTATCTTTTCTGAGACTGATACTCTAACCAAGGACCATTCATGGAGATAACCTAGATCTCTGCACAGATGTAGCCCATGGCAGCTCAGTCTCCAAATGGGCTCCCTGGTAGGAGGAACAGGGACTGTCTCTCACATGAACTCAGTTGCTGGTTCTTTGATCACTCATCCCCCAAGGGGGGAACAGCCTTACCAGGCCACAGAAGAAGACAATGCACCCAGTCCTGATGACACCTAATAGGCTAGGATCAGATAGAAGGGGAGGAGGAGCTCCCCTGTAAGTGGACTTGGAAAGGGGCATGTGAGAAAAGAGAGAAAGAAGGCAGAATTGGAAAGGAATGAGAGAGGAGGTTACAGCTTGATTACAAAGTGAATAAACCGGAAAAAAAATTTTTTTAAAGAAAACTATAAATGAGATAGTGTCAGGGAACACCATGGCTGGAAGATACCGTTACATAACATTCTTTACATTTAACCTCTACCTGAGCTCCTTAGTGGGATGAGAGTAAAAATCTTCCATCAATGCACAACAGCAACAGCATCTAAAGTCCACTACTTGTTTCTTTTCCATTTACTGTTTTCAGAGACTTACTCTCCCTATATTATCTTAGCTGACTTTAACTCCTGAAGCTCAACAAGTCCTCATTCCTTGACCTTTAAGTAACTGGCATTAGAAGTTCAGAATCATAGCCTCCGTTCATGTGAACCATTCTAATTCAACTCCCATTCTCTAAGAAGAGTGAATAAAACCATTCACGATGTAATTTTCAAAGACTATTGTGACCTGATTTGTTTCATTTACCTTCACAAGTCTAATGTTCCCAAAGTCCACCCATTGTTGAATTACAATGGATGCCTCCAGTGTTACCAGAACTATGAGAGGAGGGCATAAAAGAAAATTTCACTCACCAAAATAAGGAAGAAGTACCAAGGTCAAGATAAAAAGGAATTTGATCCATTTTGAAGCCATTTTATCAAATCTGTTAAACAAACATTTACGATTATTTATGACACATTTGCAGTGAAAGGGTTTTGCAGAGAAAGTAAATACTCTGTGCCTTTTCCCTGGGTTGCTAACTATGGTGGTCCCTTCCCTTATTCTTCATTGAATCCTCAGGTTGAGCAAGACAATCTGAGCACAGAAGGACACTTGGAGAATGGAAATGCTCTCATAGCAAAGTTAAAGACTTATTCATTCTCCCAAACCTTGGCTTATTCAGAAGACTCCCAGCTGCGTTGAAGGCAACATTATAATGAAATCTCAGGTTTTCCTTTCAAAAACCAGAAATAGTTCTCCTACAAATAACGGGCGTAGAGAACTACTTATGGCAGTTCTAGGCACCAGTATAGCCTCAGAGGACCTCCACCACCTACCTGAGAACAGGAATGGAGAAATATCAGTAGCTCTTCGAGGACTCTCCCTTTTGTTTCTCTTACCTTCTCAGACATCTCCATCCTTTTTATTATCATTTTAGTGAGGAACTTTGTTGGAGGCAATACAAACAGCCAAGTACAGATAAAACTTAAGTATGCTGTGTCCTCAAAGGAGGCAGCAATGTGCCTACTTCATGAGACACATCAGCCCTTGTCCAGGAGAACTTCCCCTGATGTAGGACAATTTGAAACTTATCTGGATTTATCCGGAACTATGAGAAAGGAGAAGGTAATGAATACTAAGAAAACCTGAGGTAATGAGATGCAAAAGATTTCCAGGAAATTGGATTGAAAAATTTAAGAAAATAGAAATAAAGGTTTCCATGCTTGGTAATCCACAATGTCAGACACATTAGACCAAATAAGGTATTTGGTGTGTGTTATGTTTTGTCTGAGGAACCTATAGATTCACACAGAGTTGTAGGTGTTTACATAGAGTGCTGCAGGGGTCAGTTTAACCAGGTTATCCACTGGGACATCTGTAAACCTGTAGCACAACCCTGGGACCATGAGTAGACAGCAAGTAGTAACAGACACCAGGGAGGAGTTCTTTCCAAAGTCTCTTTCACTACCAAGATGCTGTGTCTATTGTGCAGACAAGTCTGGGCTTGGTATATGTAAAAAGCTCCCAAAAGAGTCTCTGACAACAGAAAGTAGGGAATCCTAACTAAGGGGTAGAAGCAGGATTCAAACAGCAGAAAGAGCATAAGAAGCTTTGGAGAGAAGCTGAGGACACCATGGAGACGGTCCTAAGATGTATGCTGATAGTTTCATCCAAGTCTTAAAGTTGACTACAAGACACTTTGGGATTTGAACAGGCAATTCACTGGGGGTGTTTAGTTAAAATCCTTTAGAGTCTGACTGCTATAAAGAGCTTTGTCATTGAGCACCTCACTTCAAATCCTATCTGTGTCTAAATGACTTTGATGAAATAATCAGGCTTCATAATCCACAACTTTCTTACTTCAAAGATGGGAATCATCTATATGTCATTTTCTCATTAACGTTAGAATTTTAAGACATTCCATACATGTGCATCATGATTATAATTCCTTGTCTATTCTATTCTGCCTTTTAAAGTAATGAATAAAGCTTTAATTTAGAAAGGAGAAATATTTGAGTTTAACAATATTCGATGGACACGGAGCAGATATGACATCTGAGGTGAAATTACACAAAAGCACAGACCTGAAATTACTGGGAAGCTCATTTGCCTCACACACTGAACACCACCCACCCCCATTTCATCGTGTTGTAGACTGATCATACTGTGTTGTGTAAGCTAGACTCACAATCTTCCTTCTGCAGCCTCCTGAGTTCACTGGCAGCCTCTAGAAGATTACTAGCACCATTATGACCAGCCTTGCTATTTTTCAAAAGTGTCCATCAGAAGAGATCACAAAATAAACCAGCACAAGTAATAATAGGTCACACACACACACATACACATCTATATATATTCATATATATACATATATATATTCAGAAATAGGATTTTTTACATCTCTCCCAGAATAATTTTTTCCTTGCCATAAAAAATCACAGCAAATACTACTCAAGTCACTTTCCTCCATTAAATCTTCTAACTTATATCCTCCCAAAAAAATGGCCTCCTAATCTCTCCACAGTAACACCTCTTCTCCAATATATATAGTAGTACAATTTTTTTTCTTAAGATGCCTATTTTATGGGACTGTCCAAAACATGAAACCTCTCTGCCTCACCTCGGAACTTTTTCATACTAATATTTGATGGATATATGTGAATCTACTGCTCTAAAACTACAGAACCATTCTGATGGGTGTAAGGTGAAATCTCAGGGTTGTTTTGATTTGCATTTTCCTGATGACTAATAACGTTGATCATTTCTTTAAGTGTTTCTCTGCCATTCTATATTCCTCTACAGAGAATTCTCTGTTTAGCTCTGTTCCCCATTTTTAAATTTGGTTACTTGATTTGTTGCTTTTCAGCTTCTTTAGTTCTTTATATGTACTGGACATTAGCCCTCTGTCAGATAAGGGATTGGTGAAGATTCTTTCTCAATCAGTAGGCATTCCTTTTGTTTTGATGACAGTGTCCTTTGCTTTACAGAAGCTTTTCAGTTTCATGAGGTCCCATTTATTGATTGTTGCTCTTAGAGCCTGTGCTGTTGGTGTTCTGTTCAGAAAGTTGTCTCCTGTACCAATGAGTTCTAGGGTCTTCCCCACCTTTTCTTCTAACCAATTTAATGTGTCTGATTTTATGTTGAGGTCTTTGATCCACTTGGACTTTAGTTTTGTGCAGGGTGATAAGTATGGATCTATTTGCATTTTTCTACATGTAGACATCCAAATAGACCAGCACCATTTGTTGAAGATGCTATCTTTTTTCCATTGTATGGTTTGGCATCTTTGTCAAAGATCAGGAAGACCCTGAAATTTCACCTTACACCCATCAGAATGGCCAAGATCAAAAACTCAAGTGACAACACAAGCTGGAGAGGTTGTGGAGAAAGGGGAACCCTCCTCCACTGCTGGTGGGAATGTAAACTTGTACAACCACTCTGGAAAGCAATCTGGCACTTTCTCAGACAACTAGGAATAGCGCTTCCTCAAAATCCAGCTATACCACTACTAGGCATATATCCAAAAGAGGCTCAAGTACACAATAAGGACATTTGCTCAACCAAGTTTGTAGCAGCTTTATTCATAATAGCCAGAAGCTGGAAATAACCCCGATGCCCATCAACTGAAGAATGGATACAGAAATTGTGGTTCATCTACACAACGGAATATTACTCAGCAATGAAAAACGAGGAAATCATGAAATTTGCAGGTAAATGGTGGGATCTAGAAAGGATCATCCTGAGTGAGCTATCCCAGAAGCAGAAAGATACACACGGTATATACTCACTCATATAGACATATAATATAGGATAAACCTACTAAAATCTGTACACCTAAAGAAACTAATCAAGAGGGAGTACTGTGGCTAAAATGTTCAATCCCCATACCAAAAGGCAAAGAGGATGGACATCAGAAGAAGAAGAAAACAGGAAGCAGGTTAGGAACCTGCCACATAGGGGCCTCTGAAAGGCTCTGCAGACTATCAAAGCAGATGCTGAGACTTATGGCCAATTGTTGGGCAGAGTACATGGAATCTTATGAAAAAAGTGGGAAATAGTAAGATCTGGAGAGGACAGGAGCTCCACAAGGAGAGCAACAGAACCAAAAATTTGAATACAGGCATCTTTCCAGAGATTCATACTCCAACCAAGTACCATGCATGGAGATAACCTAGAACCCCAGCACAGATGTAGCACATGGAAGTTCAGTGTCCTAGTGGGTTCCATATTAATGGTAACAGGGACTGCCTCTGACATGAACTCATTGGCCTGCTCTTCGATCACCTCCCCCTGAGGAGGGAGCAGCCTTACCAGGCCACAGAAGATGACAATGCAGCCATTCCTGATAAGATATGATAGACTAGGATCAGAAGGAAGGAGAGGAAGACCTCCCCTATCAGTGGAGTGCACTTGGGGAGGGGCATGCATGAAGAAGGGGAGGGAAGGTGGGATTAGGAGGAGAGGAGGTAGGGGTTTATAGGGGGATACAAAGTGAATAAAATGTAATTAATAAAAATTAAAATTAAAAAAAACCTATAGAACCCTGTAGAGTTGTCATGTGGAATAATAGTATTATCTCTCTTACCCCAGATATGTCAAGGTCAATGCAGTACTGTGTCTACCTCCTACACCTTCTAAATAAACCAGACAGAATTTCAAGACTATATTATATAGTTTTTATATAAGTATTATATAAGTCTATTACCAACATGGCATCTTTTCTCACCTTCCTATCAAAAAGAGAGAAATGACCCCAGTACTGCCTAATATGCTAAGCTGTAGACTACTAACTGGGCTTCCAGTATGGAATGAACGTGACTGAGCTTTATTCTGTCTATGAGAGTCTCAGATTTTAATATGTCAATCAGAAATGAGGCATTACAACAGGTATTAAGGAGGGCACTCTAGTTGTGTTTGGGGAACAAGAAAGCCTTGACACTCTTATACAAATAATCCTGCAGAATCATTTGGACTTGGGTATGTTGGTGTAAAGGGGTGCCAGACTTTAGTAGACTCCAAAAGTTTAGCACAAATGACTTCATGATGGATATTCAGGCTATTAAACTCAGCACACAGAGAGCACCACCTAGTAAAACTAAAATGAAAGCCTGATCCATCAGAGTTCTTCATTCTGAAAAACTCTCTAATTTACTAACCTTGCTTGTTGCCTTCTATAGTTCTGTTTCTAGCTAACTGTTCTTGTTAACAGAAGTTTGCCAACCCAGAACACGGTTATTGTGCTTTAAAGTTCACTCTCTGAGAAAGGTTTGGTGCTACACTTGGATCCTGAGCATCCAGTGTAGACACCTGCTGTCTAATAAAAACTTTCTATTAGCTTGATGCATGTGCCAGTAGTCTTCCCTGGTGGATTTCCCACAACATTGGCAGCCCAGGCAGATAGAGTTTATGTGGTGTTTACTTTTACATGATACTTT